CATCTACCCTGCAGCCTCAGCCCTTCTAACGGTGCCCAGAAGAGGCTATTTCAGGACGAGGGAAACCAGGGGAAGCAGGAAATAAACAGGCTCCTTCCCCTGTCCCCAGTCTGCATGGTTCAGAGACTCAGAGTCCAGTCCCAAGGATGGTCACCCCCATCCTTGGGCAAGTGGGCAACACGGTGGGCTCAGAGTCCAGTCCCAAGGATGGGGGGTGTGAGCCCGAGTGGGCGACACGGTACTGTCCCTCGTCCCGGCACTGAGATGGGCCACCACCAGCCACACCACAACAACACACAGACTTTGTCCTGTTCGTCCCCTGCTGCCCCCCACAGCCCCCCAACACCAGTGGCCCTCAGGTCTCAGCACCCTTTATGTCACAGCGGTAACTATGACCCCACTGTGACCCAGCAGGAAGACTGAGCCACACCCAGTCCTGCGTGTCTAAAAATGGCAAAGTCGCCTATCCACCTCCAGGTCTGGAAACATTTCGTTCATGTGCATTCATAGTGTGGGTGGGGGCTCTGCCGGGTTATTTTTAGTAAATGCCCTTGGGAACCACAGCACGAAGAATGAGGCACAGCTCGGAGAGGCTCGAGGGCCCCACCCAGAGCGCCCCACCCAGAGCGTCTTACCCGGCACCCCACCCTGGTCCTATATGGACCTCTCCAAGGCCACCCCTGCCCACAGGGCTGCACAACCCAAGGCCCCATCTCACCACTTCTGCCTTCACCCCCACAGTTCATTCCCCATGAGGGAGCCAGACTGGACTTCAGCAGCCAAGAACCAGCTCCGTGCCCTCCCCCATCCAAAGGCTCTAAAGGGCTCATGTTTCACTTGGAAAAACCTGCCCTCCCAGCCCATCTGATCCCCACCACCCCCTCCTCAGCAGCCTCCATCAGCTTCCCACACAGGGGTCCTTCCAACTTCCCGAACACACCACCCTGGTTCCCGAATCTGTGCCACCCAGAGCCCTCCAAGGTGACACCACCAGAGGACAGCGGGCTCTCACAGCCTGAGGCCACCTCCTTAGCCTTGCTCCCCCCAGGCCCACCCCCACGAGGAAAGGCTCAATCTCGGTGGCTCCATTTGAGTGGCTGCTCTGCACCCCTGGCCCAGTGAGAAGCTTGGCGAGGAGCAGACGCCCACATGCGGGGTGTGGACAGCACCGGCTTTGCAAGATGAGCTCTGCAGTAAGTGTAACAAAGCAAACACATCCTGAGTCTTAAACTCCGCATGTTATATGTCGCTTATCTCTCTGGAAAACTGAAAACACTAGAGGCTAAGAAAAAAACAAGTTTTGAACAATACCCATGGGGGCGGGGAGGGTAAAAGAAAATTTATCTTTTACAAGAACTCTATGCCTTCAAAATCGACTCCCACTTACAAAGTGTGTCAGCCTGTGAGCTCCGCTGGTCTACAGAGGCGTAGCTCTCCAGTTTCCCATCTTAAACGTGGACACACAGAATTGCATTTTGAGGGCTGTACCCGCCCAGCTGATCCTGACAGACCTCTGGCCAGCTGGGACCACCGCCCCCAGCCCAGCCCCAACTTAATTCCAGGCGGCTAATCTTCCCCAGCCATTTCTTGAACACTGTAACTTCTACTGTGGCTGGAAAGGGTGCTTGCGGGCCCCAGTCCTCCCCAGCATCCCCAATGGCCCTGCCAACTGCTCCGCCCTCCTCTACTGCCGCCGCAGGGCACTGGGACAGACGCTCAGTGCGTGCTCGTCACCTGCACCCAGAGCCAGGGCTGTGCGAACACCCACGTGCACACATCCATGTGCACACACCCACGTGCACACCCATGCACTCACAAGGTCAAGCACACACACAGCAGCCCGGACTCTCCCACTCAATCTAATGGACACACACACACTCGTACTCGTGCAAACACACCCACACCACACGCACACACAGCTGCCCTTCCTGCAGCTCTTGGTTCCTCAACCTCATCAGCATGAAGGCCCCGTGACACCCCCGTGTTCCTGACATACACACACACGCGCAAACTGTTCCCTCCTGGGGCACGGCTGGCACTGAGGGTAAAGATCTAGAAGTGCCCATGTCCTAGAGCACCACTGACCTGTCTCCAGGAGGTCTTAGCAGGAAGGAAGCCCTCGCGAAAACCCGAGCCAAATGCCAGGGTCTACACTGGGGGCCCTGGCCGGGCAGCTCTGGTTAAAACATTAATGGCCAAAGCCATTAATTAGTGGCCCCTTCTGTTTCTCCATGGGGAAGAGATTCCAATGGGAAGTAATTAAAAGGTCCAGGCACTTCCACCCAGAACCCCGCACCCCCACCTCGGGGCAGCAGGGGGCAGCAGAGATCACAGAGGCACCCAACTGGGTCATTTGGCAGGCAGAAGAGCCCTGCTAGGATGTCGCTCTGCCCATTCCTGCATGAACATGGGTCGGGGGTGCACGCTTCTGCCTCCGCCCCGAGGGCTCTTGTGGCCACCAGCACTGAAGGGTGGCAGGCCCTCTGGCGGCCTCTGTGGGCACACTGGGAACGCCCTGGGATGGGCTGGGAACTCGGAGGGACACAGCAGGCTCTCCCCTCCAAGGGCGAGGAAGGGTGGCGGGAGCCAGCCCTTGTGCAAGGCTGTGTCCCCTGAACAGATGTGCCATGTTAGGGACCCCTTGGCGCTCTCCCCCAAAGCCCCGGCTGACATGCTCACGGGCCCTCAGGTTCCCTGTGGTCCTGGGCTGGGATTCCAGGGTACAGATGTCCGATCGTCTCAGACCCCCCCAGGAGTCCCTCCTTTCCCTTCCTGCCAACTTGACAACTCCCGCACCTGCCCCACCGCAGGGAGACCCAGAAGCCGAGGGTCCTGGAGAGGGCACCGCTCGGCGCCACGTGTGACAGCGCTGTGGTCCAGCCAGCGTCCCACCTACCCTATCCTGTCCACCAGGTCCCACAGCACGTTGGGGGTCGGCACCAGCGGGGAGCCATCGTATAAGACCAAGGCCGCGCCCGTGGCGAGCGCGGACACCATCCAGTTCCACATCATCCAGCCGACCTGGAACAGACCGAGGAGCACGTGTCAGCAGAGCCCTGGGCGGCCCTCGCCCACCGCTCAGCCTCGCCACCCTGTGGAGGCCCCTCAGCGGGTGCGAGCTGCCCTCTCCAACGCACGAGGCTCTGCCGCGTGGCTACAGGGGCTTGTGGCACACAGGCGGTCGCTGCGGCTGCCAGAAGAGTGTCTCCCTGGCCCTCGCTGGGGACGGCAGGAGTGAGGGACCCACTGTGCAGATGCACACGCACGGGGCGCTGCACGCTGGGCTCACGGGCACCTGGTTCCCCGCAGCACACAGGTGTCAGCAGGCAGCGCCCAGGCTGAGGTCTGGGCGGACGGGGGAGCCTCTGGGTGTGGGTGCCAGGCCCGGGAGAGAAGCAGCCTTGCACCCGGCCCCCATGTGGGCCCTTTAAAGCCAGAGGTGCCACGGAGCTGGCAGCTGCGCTTCCTTCCAAAGGGAGAGTTCATGAGGCAAACAAACACAGTGACAGAGCCAGGGAGCCAGGGGAGCGCTGAAGCAGGACTCCTGCCCCAGGCACAAAGGAGCAGCCTCCAGTAGCCTGGTCAGCTGGTGGCGCTGCTCTCACTGTGCAGCCTCAGCCCCGCCTGGTGGCCACGCCAGGGCCACAGCCAAGTGACTAGGCAGGCCACCGGCCCACACTTCCTCTTCGGCTGTAACAAATGCCCACGCCCAGCAGCCTGTCAGCCCAGACCCACTGCCCAAGGCCCCCTTGGCCCCAGTGCCCAGCAGGTGCCGAGGTGAGTCCTTCTGCAGGTCCGGGGAGGGCGTCTTCCCTGCCTCCTCCAGCCGCCGGAGGTGCCTGGGCTCACGGGCCCACACCACTTCACCGGCGCTCTGCTCCAGGCTCACCTCACGTACCTGGCCGGGACCCTCCCACCTTGCCCCTGTAAGGACCTGTGCCCAGATGACCCAGGGTCACAATCCTTAACTGAACCACACCTGCCAGCCTTTTCCCTGACGGTTACACTCACAGACCCTGGGGCTCGAGGTGGACAGGGATGTTATTCTACCTCGCCCATCACCCACCAGCCTTGCATAAATGCCTCTTCTCTCTGGATTGGCCAGAGGCACCTTCTCCTGTGCAGTTGAAAGCCAGCCATGGATGTCCCTGTGACTCACCCAGCACCTGCCCAAGGGACAGGTAGAGCTCAGCAGCTGCTTGTGAGCTCAGCTGCCCAGACAGTTACACTGGAGGCAGGAGTGGAGAGCGGGAGCAAGAGCCCAGCCTGGGGCCCTGCGGCAGAAGCTAGATTTCCCGAGCTTCTCGCGCATGGACGCGCGGGAAGGGAAGCCCCGAGCGGAGCAGCTGAGTGCCGGCACGGGGCCGGCGCCCACACTCACCGTGGTGTAGTATAGGAGGATGTCGGCGCTGCCCATGTCTCCATGCAGCATGTGCTCCTTCAGGTGCTGGATCAGGGTGCCCTGGGGAGAGCAACGTGCGTGAGTCACGCAGGCCAGGGCACCCGGGCCCACCCCACTTTGTGCAGATACCTGCCCGGGGGGGAACCTCTCTTCTCCTCCCAGAAGAAGCTGGCTGAGGGCACCTCTCCTTGACATGCTGGCCCCCTGCCACTGGGCCCCTGCCAGACCCGGCCAGCCCCTGACCGCCTGCCTACAAGCTCTGGGCCAGGAAGCCCCAGCAGAAGGGACCCAGCGCCGCAGCCGACAGCAGTAGAACGACCTTGTGCAGAGCCACAGCTAAGATGAGGGCAGAGGACTGGGGGCAGCAAGCACCCCTCTTCCTGGGCCAGTGGCCTCGCTGGACAGGACAGAGCAGTCCCTGAGAACCTTGAGTCAGAGCCTGGGGACTCTGGGTTGAGGGTAGCTCAGGCACCCGATGGACCCCTTCTGCCCCATCCCCTGCAAGGTATTACCTTTTATTTTAAGGTTTGCCGGGCACTACATTTGCAATGGCCCCAAACCACTGCCTCCCCCCGGACTGCTCTGTCCCCTGCTGCCCCAGCAGGGTCGGCTGTGTTTCCAGAGTATTCCTCACCAGCCAGCACACGTTTATTTACGCTGGCTTCTCAGCTAGACATGCTGCGCTGCAGAGTTCATAGCGCCACAGCACCTGCCCAGCCCTGCTGGGCACTGCCAGGACCTGAAGCTTCCGCCGCCATGCTCAGCCCAGACGGCAGGACCGCCTGGCAGCCCATCCTCACTGTGGGTCCTCGCCATAGCCCTGACCTCAGACTCCCGGGCTCAAGTTCCTGCTCCAAGCCCCATCACCCATCTGGGGTGTTGGGTCATGACAGCCCCAGCAGGCGGACGGGGGGGAAGCGCCTTTAGTAGCCTGCACCCTAGAACAGGACCCATGGCGCTGACGTCTGCCCCACCCCAGGCGGGCGGGGGTCTCACGGGGAGACAAGGCTCGCGTACCTGCCGCGCAGACAGCTCGCAGACACTGCAGCAGCAAGGCACTGCTGTTTCCTGTTCTCGAGCCTGTCGGCGCTTTTTTAAATCCCGTCAGGCCACTAACTGCCTCCCCCCAAGGGATCACAACCCGGGGCGAGCAAGTCGCCCCACACTCGTGGTGAGCAGGGAGCACCTGCATGTCTCAGCGGTGACAGGAGCCACAGCCGCCCTGTGGGCTCAAGTCCGGGCCTCCCCCGGCGCCCCACTTGAAGGGGGCTGCACCTCAGCATCGTGGGCCGGGGTCCTCCTGCACCAGTCCACGGCCCCTGGCAAGTAGACCTGGATGGACCTACCCCGGCAGAATGCACCATGCACTTGGGTGCCCCGGTCGTGCCCGAGGAGAACATGATGAAGAGGGGGTGGCTGAAGGGCAGCTGCTCAAACTCCAGCTGTGGGGGCTGCTCCCCTATTCCAGTGGCGAGGAAGTCATCCAGAAACACACTGTGGGCAAAAACACAAGAAACAGACCATGGACATTCCCGAGCACTGCCAGCATCAGTTCAGACCCCGACATCACTCCCATCAGATGAGGCCCCCCGTGAGTGCAGGGATGGACCTGCAGACGAGTCCACATGGCGGCTCCACACGGCACGGAGGCCTGGGGACGAGCCTCTCTGTGCTTCCAGCCTGCGCCCTGGCTCGCAAAGGGAAGTGGGAGCCCTGTGGTCGGAATTCTTCCCCTTTCCCCAGAGGGCCAGGGAGGGTGACAGCAGGCCCCCACCTTTCCCAGCACGGGAAGGTCACGGCACCGAGCAGGCCAAGGTCCAAAGCTGCGGCTGCCACAGGTGAATTTGCAAAGCAAAGAGGCTGAGCAAACAGATGCCTTGTGTTGTCACTACTCCACCACAGCCAGGGTTGAGCAGCAGCTCGGTACAAATATTTGCCTAGGGACAGATGAGGCCTAGGGACTGTCACCTACGGTGTCCACCCAGCCCTGGACTAAGGGTGACACCCAGTGGCCATGCATGTGGCCAAGACCCAGCCAGGGGCTCTGCTTTCTGAGCAAAAACAGGGCCATGGCAGCTGCCGTCCAGCCGGGGACTGGAGGCTTCTCTATTTGACGCTGCAGAAACACCCATCCCAGAGCCTAGCCTGGGCCGGCGCTGGAGGAGAAGAGAGACGGGAGAGGAAGAAGTCCAGCTGCCTGACAAGTGGAACTGCCTCCGTGAGGGGGATATGAAACTGGGCCCACAGCAGAGCTAGGACATGCACCCCAGGGCGCAGCGGGGAGCCAGGCGGGCCGAGACGCCTCCTTCAAGATAAGGGTGCTTTCAAAAGGGCACCCAGAACAGCTCCACTCAGACACAGACAACAAGGCTTCTGCCCGGAGTGTGTGAGAGCTGTCCACAGAGGACTGTGGCCAGCAAGAGCACCCTTCTCACGCCCCCACCACGACCCGGGCCCCTACAGAGAGCACCCACACTGACCGGGCACTTCACACCTAGAAAACCTTCCCTTCAAATGGCCTGTAAATCTCAGCAAACGGTGATTATCTCTGCGGCCTTTCTGGGAAGTGGAAAGCCCAAAGGGTGGCTGCCCCTCCCAGGCTTCCACACAGGCGGGTGGGTGTCTGGTCTGGCCACAGCCTCCATCGCTGCCCGGGAACGGGGCAGCCATCTGCACTGGGGGATGCCAAGGGGCCGACTGGACGCTCCAGTCCGGTCCTCACTGTTGACAGACATGGACGAAGAGCGGGGTCCTGCCGTGTGGCTACCATCCACCCTGGGACGGGGGGCCCAGCTCCAGGGCCCACGGGTCCCCAGCACACATGAGGCCTCTGAAGTGAAGTCCGCAGAACCTGGGACCCCAGGGGGCTGCGGGGGCTCCCTGGGACAGCGCTCGGCTTACCTATTGGGAACCTTGGAAATGTCTATCCTCTCTCTGGAGGAGACGTAAGGAATCACCACCACCCTCTTCAAGTCCGGCAGTCCTGAAAGGAGAACATGGTTGCACACGCAAAATGTGCGAACATGGCTTTTCTAAGCAGAGGTGATTCAATGTAGGGACGGGGCTTATCGAGGATTCTGGAGCTTGCACTTTGCAGAGGCCCGGTCGGCGCCGGGGCCCTTGTCCCTCACCACACACCTTTCACCACCCGCAGCAGCTTGTCCAAGTGGCCGTGCTCCTTGCCGTTGTACTGCACAGCCTCCACGGAGAAGATGAGCTTCGGCTGAATCTGGGAAAACCGGTCCAGGACACCCTGGAAGCAGAAGGAAGAGTGGGCCTGGGCCTGGGCCATGGGCAGGCAGCAGTTGGCCCTGGCCCGCTGCGCCCCCTCCCCTTGGGGGATGATTCTGGCTGGGAGGTCGGGGCGTGCCCCCAGAGACGTCAGCACTCCCAGCATCGACATCAGAAGCACAAGGACTTCCAGACACCACAAGGCCAGACCCCGAACTTATGGGGGCCAGACTCCACTCGGCTCCTCGGGCAAGGGATGAGATTCGCCTTCAGGCGACTGCAGGAGCTCCCACACCCCGGTTCTGCTCTAGGCTTCACTTCTGAAGCGGCCCCCTCCACGCCCTGTTGGACACTTTCAGCCGAGCAAATAATCCTGCAGATGTGGACACAGGTAAACAGGCCCATGTTCGGAGCAGGCTGGCCGACACCCAGGTGCCCTTGTGGGCCCACCAGTCTGCCGCCCCACCCAGCACTCCTCTTTCCTGGAAGAGGACACACCTGCCACACAGGTGCTGAGTTGTCTCTGGAGCAGGTGCAGACAGCTGTGACTGAAGCAAACGTCCCCACCCTGTGCTGCCCTGGGGTGACAGAGAAGGCTCTTTTCCCCCAGACCCCTCCAGCCTTTCTCAGGCCCAGACCACGGTGGTACCACCATCACCCACAGAGCGCTCCTGGGCCGGGGTGGGGGCAGGCATCTCCCAGAGCAACTCTGCTGTTCTCTCGGAACAGATGGCAATGAGGACAAGGGTCTCCAGACAGAGGCCTGGGCCTAGGCTGGGAAAGGTGGGGGACTCAGCAACACCAAGATGCTTCTGGCTGTGGCGGGGGTTCAGGCTCTCCGAGCAGCCCCAGGCTAGAGGAGCCAACACCCCCAGCCGCTTCTGATCTGAACAGGGTGCGCAGCCACCCGGCGAGCAGGAGGCCAGGGCCGGCGTGAATGGCGACAGTTGGCAGCAGGGGACACCTGCCCTGTGAGCCACACAAGCCGTGCACATTGCAGCCCAGGACCGTGCCTGGGGGCAAGGGACCAACTCGCCCAGTGCTCTGGTTGGACTCCCCCAGTGTCCTTAAAAAAGCCGCCAAAGGTAAACAGTGAAACAAGGGAGAAGAAGCAAACAGGATGAATGAAGCAGGATGCATGGTGAGGCGGGAAGGCGGTCCCGAGGAGCAGAGCCCACTTCCCACCCCCAACCCCAGGAAATGCCCCCCAGGCCCAACATTTCCACACCAAAGCTCAAGGACAGCACAGCTAGGAGCTGGAGGGGGTTGGGGGCCGGGGCACTGGGCGAGGAGACCACAGGGGCAGGGCAAGGAAACAGGGAGCTTGCTGCAGATTTGTCTGCGCCGTGACAATGGAGTGGGGTCCTGCTGTTACCAAACAGCCAGACCACGGGAGTCGCCTCCCTGCTTGTGAGTGGAGGAAGGGCAGCCGCCTGCCCTCCCCACGCCTGTAAGTGCTGCATGAGCCCCGTGAGAGACAGTGCCCCCCAGGATGCATTTTCAGTGGCCCAGAGTGGGGGAGACCTTCAGGCTTCATTGTAGATTTCAGAGGAGCTCCCTTCCTGAGCCCCTGGGGCCCCCTGAGGGTGGAGGCAGTGCTCTTGGGAACTAAGCAGGTGTGTGGACCACAGAGGAACCCTGGGTGTCGCAGGTCCCAGGTCAGGCCCACAGTCACACTCGGGAAAGCTCCCCACTCCCTCACCGGCCAACAGCGAGGCTCTGGTCCATGGACTACCCAGGTCCCGGCACACGGGCTGGGCCCACCTGAGCAAGCGCCGGGGCTTCCCAGAGGAGGCCAGTGCCGCAGCCAGAGCCGTGAAGTCACCAGCAGCCTGACCCACTCCCTGCGAAGGTGACCAGGGGTCCACGCCCACCTGGCTGGTAGGACAGAGGGCCCTACGCCTGCACCCTTCACCTGGGGCCCAGAGCCCGGGCAGGGCAAAGCATCTTGGAAGGGAGGCCTGGGCACTGCTGTCTTCTGGCCTGACGAAGGGGTTCCCGGAGACCTGGGCGGCCGCCCCTCCGGGCACAGCTGCTGCATGCAGAGCGGGGCCAGCCTGCCCCCTCGCGAGGCTCCAGCCACAGCCACAGCTCCAGAAAGCCCAGCTTGGCTGAAACTATGGAGGACAGGCCCTCGGAGCTGTTTCCCCACCAGCAGCCCCTGCAGGGCCAAGATCAGCTGGAGGTATCTCGGATGTCTGACTCCCCTCACCTCTCCATCCCAGGAACCCTATGGCCGACACATACCCCCACACCCGGAATCCACCCCAAGAGCTCCCCTCTCTGCCAAAGCTTCACTCAGGGGTCCTTCCAGGCCGGGGTGAGGGACATGACCAGGCCCCCTGCCACACACTGCCAACCTGGCCACTGGCTCTGAACAAGTTAGAAAGTTACAGTGTAATTCAAAATACCTGCGTCCAGTACAGTGTTCACAGTGCCATGGGAGGGCCACCCCTCACAAGTGGCCCCCCACCTTGGGTGCTCAGACCCAAGGCCCTTGGTCAAGGTCACCAGGCCAGGAGGCCACCTGCCTAGACCACTGCGCCACCCTGCGTGTTCCCCAACCTCCCAGAGCCTCCTGCCAGTCTTCCGCCACACAAGTGCCAAGAGGCCAAGGGCACTAACACCAGAGGCAGCGCCCTGAGACATTGCCACCGCCCAGTAGCTGACACAGCCCATGCAGAGCCTGGGCATCCACAGGCCACACTGCAGCCCAGGCTCAGGGCCGCCCTCCCTGCCCAGGGTGGGCCTGGGCAGAGGCCACCGGGACAGTCCAGAGGAACCCCAGAGGTGCTTGGAACCTCCCCCCAGCGGCCTGGGAACTGCCCATTCATATTGCCGGTCCACCCAGCACCTTCTGTCCACTTCCTGCTGTCACACCTTCAACCCACTCAACACTGGTCATCATCAGCCCCATGGCAGGCATGATCCAGCCTTTTCTTTGCCTACTCGGCCTGCTCACCCACTGCCCTTGGGCCTGAGGGGGCCAGTGGCAGGGCTCCAGCCTCACCCCAGACTGGCCTCACCACCCCCTGAGCTCCTCCAGGCCTGAGTGGGAAAAGTGTGCCTGCTCCTCTCCCCCATGGGATGAGCAAACAGGACGGGTCTGAAACCCCAACCTTTCCAGGACAGTGGGGTAGACACGAGTTTGAAGCTCAGACCCTGACTTGACCTGGGGACAAGCCTGGCACCCACGGAAGGCCCTGCCGCATCGGTTCCCCGGTCCTCCTACACCTTTACCTCCTTCCACACCTCTCTTCCCACTGCCCCACTTTGCAACCCAGAGAGGGCAGGAAACTTACTTGGGGCACACAGCAGCAGAGTCAGGCAACCCAAGCCACTGGCCAGCCTGGACAGCCCGATACAAAGGTCACCCTGGTGCAGTGCCAGGGCCGCAGGCACCTGTGTCCTCCCACGGGCAGTACGGTGTCTCCTGCGTGTGTCCCCCTCCACCCCCAGCCCTCCCCGAGGCTCTGGGAGAGGAGAGGTCTGGCCAGGGAGTCCTCTCTGCTGCTGCTTTCCTCCCGTCGGGGACCAGTGCATGCTTCCTGCTCCTGCCTGACCACTCTGGGCAGCTGGGTGCACCTTGGGCCCGTAAGTCCCCCAGCCGACAGGGACTAAGTGGCTGGGCCCCTCCCACACAGCGCAGGAAGCCAAGGCCCAAAGTGAAAGAGAAAAAGGGCAGCCGAGGATGCTAGGGTTCCTGTGAAGGTCTGTGATAACACCTGCAGAACTAATCTGGAAAGCCGCCTGCAGAGGCTGAGCGTTAGACACTCACAGTCAGGAAGTCACCTGAGAGGCTGGCCCCGGCCTCTGGCCAGCGCCCACCCGGGCACATGCCGCCAGTGGGCACACCGCCGTGGGGATGCTGGGTGGGGGTGAGGGAGAAGAAGGGCCGTCCTGAGATCGAAAGTGAGGTCCCTCAGGCTGCCCTCTCTGCTATCCTCACCCCAGGCCAGGGCCACGAGGCCCTTGGGACACCGTCTCCTTCCAGCCTGGGCAGACCTGCACCACTCTGATCCCCAAGCCCGTCAGTGGGCAGGGCCCGACCTCATGTTCCCCCTGCACAGCCTCAACCCCCAGGCACCCTCGGGCACGGGGCGGCACCATAGGCGGGCCCGGGACTCACGTTCACTCCGAAGTCTGGGGACGTGGAGCTCCAGATGGCGCCAATGCTCGCTGCGGCCAGCATGGCCTCCACGGCGTGCGCACTGTTGGGCAAATAACCTGCCGAAGGGACACGGGGACAAAGCCTTGGGTTCGGGGCTTCGGATTTCAAAACGTGCCTCTGAGAGCCAGGGCAGGAAAGGGGGGCTGGCTCGCGCCGCAGAGCACAGCCAGCCTTACCCCACCTCCCCCCAGCGGCCTGGGAACTGCCCATTCAGATCGCAGGTCACCCAGCACCTTCTGTCCACTTCCTGCTGTCACACCCTCCAACCCACTCGACACTGACCAGCATCAGCCCTGGCGGGCATGACCCAGCCTCTCCTCTGCCCACTCAGCCTCCCACCCCAGACTCAGTCACGTCTCCCGCTGTCCCGCCTCGGGGCCTCTGCACAGCTCTGCCTGAACCCCCTGCACACGCAGCTTTCCCCACACGGCTGCTCATCCTGCAGTCTTCACTCCGTTGGACTTTCTCAGACACACCTTTCCCAAGTCCCTAATTCAGCCTGTCCCCCCACCCCCGTCGTCACCATAAAACACACCGACTTGACCCTCACCAAACGTTGCCTAATTATCACCTATGCATAATCACCACAACTGCTTATTACCTGGCTCCCATGTGAGGGCTGAGGCTTGGTCTGCCTTGTTCTTTGCTCCACCAGGCCCAGCTGCTCTCAACTGCCTACTTGACCACAGGAGTGGGTGTTTGCTGTTTGTTTCTTAGGGTTCACAGGCTTCTCCCCTGTCAGGACGTCAGGGTCCCAAGAGGCTGGGATCCCGTCCAGTTCACCTGCACCCCCATCCCAGGGCACCCCTGCCATCTGGATGAGAACATAAGACTCGTGAAACTGTGAGTATAAACCAAAGGTCTCAATAGGGTCCCTGCCCCAGGGGGACCAGAAGAGCTGGCTGTGGGGACCCACATACAGCCAGAGGATGCCACCTACACCGGCCAGAGATGGAGACCTGCACAGCTCTCACCCCTTATGCCTCCACTGATGCCTCATGCGGACTCATTCCCTGGTGTTTGTCTCAGGACACATGTCCACTCCCCCCCACCCCCGTAGCCACCAACAGGACAAACGTGCCACCAGGCTGATGGTGATAGGCCCAGGACACCCCAAGAAAGCACAACCAAGAGGGATCCCAACTGTCCCAACACACCCCTCTCGTCCTCTCCAAAACCACGGCTCCAGACAGAGCTCTGGCCTCTCATTCAATAAATACATGCACACGCACACACACACACGTGTGATTTCAGGTGGGTCACAGGACAACTTAAAAATAAATCCAGGGCAGCGTGAGCTGTGACAGATTCCTCAGAGGTGCTAATGCTTGAGCAGAGACCTCTGTGAGCCCAGCGAGGCCTCAAATCACAGGAGGGACCGCAGCAACTTGGGGCATCCTTTCTACCTGACCCAGTCCTCGGCAGTGCCATAGGGCAGGCCCTGCCCCACGCCCAGCTGCGCCACCCCAGGGGAGCCCCAGCCCAGCCACTCACAGAGAAGGTCCCTGCCCTCTCCGCAAACACCCACTGAGGGCCCAGCCAAAACCCTGGGAGAGGCACACCCAGGCTAAACTCTGAGGTCCCCAGGCCAACGCCCCGCCTCGGGCTTCTCCTGAAGCAGCCCCAGCCCTGCAGCGCCCATCCCATGGAGGGGGCTCCCCTTCATACAGAGGGGAGGGACATCGACAGCCCCTAGAGCAGGCAGTGGTGTGTCCTGAGTACCGCCCACCCATCTTGACAGCCAAAGCTCCTGGAGCAGAGACCACGCCCACATGCCGGCCTTCACATTCCCCACAGAAGCCAAAGTGAAAAGAAACCGAGGAAAGCACCTGAGCTGCCTGTGGAGGATCGTGGCCACATACCGATACCCCAGGAAACAAAAGCTGACCGAGGATGGACCAGGGAAGGGAGGAGCCTGGCCACTGCAGGCGCCAAGCCTGGCTCCTTCCAGCACCTGAGGCCCAGCTCTCAGGCCCTGCCACCAGGCCTCGAGCCATTTCTGCTACCTGGACTGCCCTCCCCTGCAGGGCGAACCCTTGATAGCCACCCTGGGACCAGTGCCCACTGCTCTTGGAACTGCCTTGGGCCCTGGGACAGCGCAGGAATGGAGCAGAGGGTCCCTGCTGCACAGACCTTACAGCAGCCTCAGAAAGGCCGGGCCTCCTCCTGGGGCCCCTGCCGCCTGTGCAGGACGTGGGTGGGCAGCGGTCTTCCTGCCCTGGCAGCTGCCACCGGGGTCTGGGCACAAGAGGAAATCAGCCAGACACCAACACCCCCTCGGCCAGGTTTTGGGGATCAGGAATCAGTCAGCAGGCATGTCAGCAAAATGGAAAAACGTGCAGGGCAAAAATTCTTTGGGAAGGCCGGAGGCGGCTAGACGGCTCCCGGAAAACGCTGCAGCAGTTCCCCCAACCCGGGAAGGGACCCCGTCTCCTGAGTTGAGCTGGGTTTAAGGACCGTCACGCTTGTAACCTGTGGCTCTGGCTTTGCCCCAGACACTCTCACATGCAATAGGCCCTGGGCCGGGAGGGAGCCCCACAGGCCCCTCCCCACAGTCAGGCCCTGCCAGACTTGGAGGCGCCCCTCTGCAGTGACCTCACTTCTCGGTTGATTTTTTTTTTTTTTTCGCTGAAGCAACTGCAAGCCACACATTCGGCTTCCGTTTCCTCCCCAGGACCCACACACTCACCGACCACTCGGTCTCCCTTCTTCACGCCCATTTTCCTCATTGCCGAGGCGAACAAAGCCACTTGCTGCCTCAGCTCCTGGAAGGTCACCTTCACGATCTCCTCCTTGCCCTCCCCTGTGAAGAGGAAAGGGGCCAACTGAGGTCTGAGCCACAGGCCAGAGGAGAGCCACCCCTGAGCACGGCAGGTTGGAACCCCTGCCAGAGCAGCAGCGGGAGGGTTAGGGAGGCCGGAGGGAGGCAGGCCTGCGACCCAAGGACCTGAGGCCACATGGACACAAGCCCCTGGATGCCTCCCACGACCTACACACAAAGACTTTGTTGGGTTGCAGTTTTTTTTTTTTTTTTTTTTTTTTAACTTTTCAAGTTGACCTAATTCTATAATCCCAGGAAATCCTGAAGACCTGCAGAGAGGCCCGGCCCCTCTCCACCTAGGTCCCCCCTCCAGCGTCCTCTGGCATGACCTGAGTGCACTGTCAAGGCCAGCAAACTGATGCTGACACCACGTGTGGGCAGGGACTTTGTTTTGTAGCATTTCCATGACAGCAATCTCAGGCTAAATCCAGTATATCTCCTTCTCCTCCCACAACCTGTAATAGTCCTGCCTCCCGCCCATCAACCCCAGTGACACCACCCGTCCCTTCTCCTCCTCTGCGGTCTATCCCATTGTATCAAGATTGCTGCAGAAACAGGTCACGCCACAGGCAGTTCTTGAGGCTTTTGTCCTTAGTACGATGCTCTCAAGAGTAAAGTCAGTCTGTGGACAGGTCTGTGGCCCCCAGAGTGAGCCGGCTCAGCAGTCATGGTTATCCCCACAGCACCTCATTGGCTCCTTTTGATTGCTGCGTAGTGTTCTATCTTTGGTTGTGTTTTAATGATATTTTTTTCACATTATCAAGGTAATACAAGCTCACTATAGAAAACCTTAACAGAAAACAGCCTCCCTAGTGGCGCAACGGGTTAAGTCACAGCACTATGAAGTGATCAGCAGCCACTGCAGCACAAGTTCAATCCCCAGACAGGGAGGCCTGTGTGGTACATCAGACCTCTCCTTTTTCCTTGCTGCTCCCCACCGACTGTAGATTTCAATGGACCCACCTGTTCTGCTCCCCACTGTCTCTGGTGAATCCTCTCAACCCCCACACTTCTGGCCTGCACCCCATCTCTTGTATGCATAAATATTAAAAAAAAAAAAAACCTCACATTTCAAAAATATGTAGATGGGAAAGAAAATAAAATGATCACCCTCACCTCACAAATGCACTTCAGAACAGCGAGCTGCTACCTTTCACCCTAGGGATGGAGCAGGCCCGGCCTGGCGATGCCCTGGTGACCATGTCCCAGAATTTATCCTCTCGTTCTCCCTCTGACATGGAAAGGCCTGGACTGAAGTGCTGAGGGGATAACCGTGACTGCTGAGCCTTGGGTGTGAGGTGCCGGCTCATTCTGGGGGCCAGCTGTGGAGTCATGGGGCCCCTCAGCAGTTGATGGAGAAGCCCCACAGTGAGAGCTGAGGCTCCTTCCCATACCCTACAGTCCCCCCCCAGCCCTGGACATGGGCCTACCGGCCTCCCGAGGACGGCTGCCCTGCCAACACCCCCACCCTGACCTCATAGGATACCCCCAGCCAGAACCACCCAGCTAAGCACTTCTGGCTGTGCACCCACAGAACAGTCAGGCCCTGAGGGGTCCTGTTTTAAGCCATGTTTGGGGGCCACTGCTCCCCAGTGAAACCAGCCAGCTCGGGTGGCTGCAGCCAAGCAGGGAGCCTCACGGGTGTGCTGCCTACGGGCGAGACACCTGTCCTGGCCAGTCTTTCATGCAGATGGCTCATTCCTGCACTGCCCGCTCTGCTACTCAAGGACATGACATGTCTCATCTCACGCCCTGACTTCCTCTCCTGTAAATCTGGTTCTTCCAATTTACCTAAAGTTACACCTGTGTCGTCCACCCTGCTGGTCTCACCTCACCAGCTGCCTGCCCCACCTCTCCCGTGCCGCCCGTCACTGGCTGGCCTGGGAAGATTCGCAGTAACCTAAGCACTACCTCTCCAAGCCACAAGGGGCCATGCAGGCAGGTTCTGGCGGATCAGCACCTCAGGGCTGGTGCATTTCACTTGGCCCCAACCCTGGAGCCTGCACCAGACGCCCCGAAGTGTGTGGAGGGACAAGCAGGCCCAGGGCAGACTACACCAGTCCTGCACACAGGGAGAGGAAGGACAAGTAAGAGAAGCACAAAGACGGCCAAACAGTTGTGCCAAAGCTCCCACATCTACCACCAGTGTGCCGCGGAGGGAAGGGAGCTAATGTGTAAGTAAGATGCGCCCCCGGAGGGAAGACACCGAGGCAGGACAGCGTCATCACAGAAAGAAGGTCAAATATTTAAAAGAAGAGGGATGGTGAAGAGGGGAGAGGAGCGTGAAGCGAATTCAGCAGACATGGCTCTGGACGCACGTCTCCTTAAGCCACACTTGGCACTGGACAAGGAAAGGGTCAGCCAGCAGGCATCTGTCAGTGTGCTGGGGAAGGCGAGGGGAAAGGCGGGACACGAGAGGGCGGAGACAAGCCCACGGTCTAGCGTGAACCTCGCAGGCCAGGAGAAAGGTGGTCCGGCCGTGGCTATCTATCTTGCGCCAAGACAGGAGGAGACACAGAGAGCTGGCACTCTTCCCTCTTCAGACCACAACAGATGCCACGACTCTGGCGTCCCAGCAAGGCTGGTGTCGTGACTCTGGGTTCACGGCCCGTGGCAGGCCCTGCGGTCGCGCAGATGTGAGAAGGGATGAAGCCCACACCTGTGAGTGTGGAGGTGGCCTTGAAGATGAGCCGCAGGGCAGGAGGCCTCAGCAAACCCCTGGGGCAGGAAGTAGGTGGGGGCGGGGCCTGGGGAAGTGACTGTGCTGGGCAGGGAGTTTAGTCTGGGAGTGATGAGGATATTCTGGAACTAGAGATAGTGATCTCTACAGGGTGAGTGCTGATGTTAAATGAAATACGTCCTCATGGAAGAAAGCATGTGCCCCCGCCCCCCCAAACCGAGGCTCCCAGGCTTTCTGCGGTGCTGCATGACCAGGGTCAGGTGTGGCCTGACCCTGTCTACACAGTGGAGCTGGAATGCTGTGAATCAAGTCCTACCATTCTGAAGGAATTCAATGAAACCCTGGCTGATCCTCATTCATCACTTTTTTTTAAGATTTATTTATTTATGGATATAAGAGATACAAGAGCTGAGGTAGAGTCCAGAGGTGTGGGGCTGGGGATGAGAGGATTTACCAGAGACAGAGTAGGAGCAGTACAGGCAGATCAACTGAAATGCACTGCTGAGGGGAGCAGTGGGTGAGACAGGAGAGGTCTGCTGCACCATGTGGGCTGTCTCCCTGGCCAGGGATTGAACTTGTCCTGCAGTGGCTGCAGATAGCTTCATATTGCTGTGCTGTAATCCCTTGCACCACCAGGGAGGCCCCCATTCATCATTTTAAAAGCCAGGACTCAACATAATGGTCTTGCCTAAAGTGGACACAGCCTAGGAGACCACTATGAGCCCCATAATCCCACACACAAGCCGTCCTCACCAAGGCCAGAGAAGCCCCAGAGACTGGGCGCCCAGCAGACCCCAAAGTCAGCCTCCAGCCTCTCCTTCTTTGCACCCGCTGGCTCCTCCCGTCACTCTGCCCCCTGGCTCAGACCCCTGTGGGACAGCCATCCCCTCTGAAGCTGCCACAGTCCCCAGCCTCTCCAGGCCTCTGCCAAGTGCCATGCCCGCACGTCCTGCCCTCTGCCAGCTATTCAAGGGTCCAAGGCTTGCTGCAGCTCCCAGCGCTCTCTCTGCCTCGAATGCCCCCCCCACCTCTCTGACTCCCTCACCTTGTTCAAGTTCTGCTCAGGCCCCTCCACACTAGCCTTCCCCAGCAGTCCCACTAAACCAGCCCTGTACCCCACCCTACCGCGTCGCCCCAGTGGTGCTGTTATCTGTTCTTTTTCCTTACGTGCATTTTCTTAGTTACTGTTGACCTCACTGGAAGGCCAGCAACCAAAAGTAGGAACTTCGTCCACTCTGGTCAGTGTTGTGCAACTGTGGCCTTACACTATGGGGGTGCTCACTGCAGACCTGGAGTGCTGGGTGGGTGGATGGACAGGTGGGTGGATGGCTGAGTGGAAGGGGAGAGGGAGGGAAGGAAGGAGGAGGAGGAAGCCTGGATAGATAGTTAGGAAGGTCGACAGACAAGAAGGTGGACAGGTGAGTGGGTGGAGGGCAGGGAGAGGGGAGGGCATGCAAATCCCCTTAAAGAGCCAGGGAGCGCCATAGAGTGGGCATGGGCCAGCCTTAATGCCTCAAGGCTAACTATTCATGCAGCCTACCCTGCATCAAGCTAAGAGACACAAAAGGGAACAAAACATCCTGCAGAGCCAACACAACATGACACTCCATGGTTCTTAGCCAGCAATGGGCAGCAGCAGCAGGTGGGCTTAGAAAAAGATACAACCTGTGCCCCACCCCATGCTCTTAGAGGTCACCTGGGACTGGCTTGAAATAAAAGCCGCACAGGATTGCAGCTACAGAGCCAAGTGCATCCCCAAGGACTGTTTACAGTGCTCTAGCTAGCTAACCCTACACTCCTTGGTTTAATCCTTAAAACCCCAAAGCAGGTACCATCATCTCCTCTGGCATCATCTCCATTTTCAGAGACAGAAACTGACCTAAAGAGATCCAGTGACTTGCCCAAGGTCACACAGCTCCTGAGCACAGAACTAGTACTCAAGGGGCCTCCCTGGTGGCACTAGGGGTTAAAGTGCAAGGGGGGGAGGGGGAGTTAAAGCAATAGCTATCAGCTGCCACTGCAGTTCCATCCCCAGCCAGGTGACTGGCATGGCATGGCAGACCTCTCCTGTGTCCCCACTGTTCCCCTCAGCAGTGTGTTTCAGTACATAAGTCTGTTCTGCTCCCTGCTTTCTCTCTAGTGAATCCTCTCACCCACCCCCCCCCCCACACACACACCTCTGGCCTATACCCCAGTTCTTGTATACACAAATAGTGCTGTTTTTGGTTTTTTTTTTAAGTGCTGTGCTTTAACCTGCTGCGCCACCAGGGAGGGCCCTTATGCAAAAATAAATAAATCTTTTAAAAAAGAACTAGGGCTCAAACGTAAAGACCCTCACCCAGATGGCATTTACTCCTATTCCAGGGTCTACTTGTACACCATGATTGTCTCACTTCCCATCCCACACCAGCTTGGTGTGAAGCCCCTGCAGAGGCAAGGATGTGGTCCCACAAAAATGAAAACAGGGGCCCTCCCTGGTGGCGCAGCGGGTTAAAGCACTGCACTGAGAAGCTAAAGCCACTTCCGCATGAGTTCGATCCCCGCCTGCCCCGATCCCCGCCTGCCCCGGAGGTGACCACATGGCGCGGCAGACCTCTCCTGACCCGCCCGCTGCTCTCCTCAGCAGTGTACTTTGTCGATCAGCCTGTTCTGCTCCCCACTCTGTCTCTGGTGAAGCCTCTCGCCACCCCTGAGCCTCTGGCCTGTACCCCAGTTCTGTATGTACAAATAAATAAAATCTTTAAAAAAAAAAAAAAAAATGAAAACAGGAAGCCAGGGAGAAGATGGACGGGCAGGTAGGGAGAAGAGCAATGGGGACCCCTTCATAAAGGACGGAGAGATCATCCTACACACCCCCACAGCTGCTAGACTATCAGATTCCAGCCCCACCCAGAAACCAGAGCCTTCAACCATGACAAGAGAAGACTCCATAATGTCCCGTCTCCTCTTCCTAAGCAGACTGCCCCAACAGAACAGAACATTTTGTGTCTAAAAGGGGTAAAGGAGCTTTCATACTCACAGAGCCATACTGTGATCACCTGGTTGACATGTATGAAAAGCTCGAACCCTAACACTACCAGGTAAATTCAGTGTTACTGGTTACAAAACCTCATTTGGCTGGTTTATTTCAAACACTCCATTTCTGCCAACTCCTCCAGAGCCTGCTCAGTACATACACTGAAATATTCTTTAAACTTTATTCTAGAAGCCCATGGAGAGAAATGTTAGCTGGGCCTCCACTGTTAACTTTCCAAGTGGCTCTGAGCTACCTATTTAATATTGGGCATCTCGATTTCGTCCATATAAAAGGACCATGTGACTGTCTCCACCCCTTCCCAGAAATAATAAAAACTCAATAGATTTTTTAATTGCACTGGACAGGTGCCAAGAGCTGCCATTACAAAAGCAGTATGGCGGTTCCTCAATAAACTAAACTCAGAACACCCTATGATCCAGGGATCCCACTCAGGCTACATATCCCAAAGAATCCAAGGCAGGCCCTCAGAGAGCCCTCTGCACAGCATCATTATCCACACTAGCCCAGAGGCGGAAGCATACTATGACAGATGGGTAAAAAAAAGGTGATCTTGACACTTAGCCAAATAATATGCAGCTTTTAAGTCATTCTGGAACAGCTACCACATGGATGAATCTGGAGGACATTACAGTGAGTGAGTAGCCAAAGAACAGTATACGGAGGCCAGTAACCAAAGGACAAATATTGTATGACCCCACTCACAAGGAAGAGCCAACACATTCAAACTCACACAGACATTATCAAAAGGTGCCTACCCGGGGCTGGAGGAAAGAGCAGGGAGCTGGTGATTAGTGAGCACAGAGCTCCATGCTGCAGAAGAAAGGGTTCTAGAGATGCCAGGCGGCAGCAACGGAGCACACACCCTGAGCTGCGCGCTCGTCAGCACCGGGTGTTAAGTTCACCATCACGTGTTCCACCACCATAAACAGGGAAAAAGAAAAGCGCCCTGAAATTGTTTGAAAAATCACACTTTACAGGTCCTAAAGGGGCTCTCCAGACACCAGCCCACACTCACACAAGTAACTTCTGGAACACTCAGGGAGGAAAAGGCCACTCCTCGGGACTCACTTGCAACATAAAGGGCCACTTTGTCATTGTCCTTGTGCCGAAGGAGATTTTCCGCGTAGTTGAGACGGCTGCCTTTGAACCACTCGGGGACGTCCGCTATCCCTTTCGATGGGTCCACCACCTAGAGAAAAGACAGTGAGCATCACACACATGCAAGGGGCCACGCACGAATGGCCAGCAGCGGCCCACACCCTGGGGAGCCACTGCTTCCCTGACCGTGGCTCCTTCCTTCCAGGCTAACACTGAACTGGCCTGAAGGCTGGAGAGTGAGAACACAAATAAACACTCCGTGGTCAGCAAGATGTACTGAACACCGGGAAGGAAGCTGCTGTGAATCAAGCTAAAGCATTGCACCACAGTAGAAAGAGAAAGTTAACTACCTCCATCTTGGCTATCTTAACTCACCCACTACCTTGATTTCAGCAGTCACGCCCTGACTGATCCATGATGGTCCATCACACCATCATATGTGCACCTTAAATACTGTCAACTATTGCTCAATAAAACTACGGAAAGGAGTTATTAGCAGGAAAAGCACCACCCTATGAATGGAAGCTCAGCAAATATTTACTGAGCACCTACTTTATGACACAGAAGGATGACGGAAAATAAAGACTGACATGGTAGCTGCCTATGTCTGAGCC